GGTTCGACCAGGATGCCGTCGTCCATCAGCCACTTGGAGGACCAGCGCACCGTGTCGTTGACCTCGGGGCCCGGCGGCCTGCGCCGCTCGTGGTCCCACTTGGCGCCCCAGGCGAACGCCATGTATTCGCTGGGGACCCCGACCACCCAAAGACCATCACGCAGTGGATCATGATCACGCGCGTGGTCATGCCAACCGCCTCGCCCGGGAGGGAGGTGCCGAACTCGGCCGCGTCCTCGTCGCGCACCCAGCGCCACTTGAAGGCTCTCGAGACGTCCCTCTTGGCTATTACCTGTGGCACCCCGGGGTGGCGCGCTGACCGCCAAAGGGAGAGTCGCACGAGGGCCTCGTGCTTCGGCTGGAGCGCCGGTGGGTGCAGCTCCTTGGGCGAGTCCCCGTTGGCGACGCGCATGTCGCGTATAGGGCGCCCCTCGCTGCTCACCGTGCGGTCGGGCAGCATCTTGGGCACTCGCCCGGACGGGCTCTCGATGAGCTCCGATGCGGACAGAGCGTCCTCGGCCTCTGGGGTGGCTCAGAGCACGGCGACGTAGGAGGTATCCTTCCAGGCCTTGGCGTACATCTCCAGGGCGTGGTCCCGTGCTGAGGCGTGGGCTGCGTGCCGCGGTACGCCGCCTGGGCTGCTGCCTCCGGACTGGGACACCCTTGATGGCCATCTCGCGGAGGCACTGTTTGTGGTCCTCTTCCAGGGCTGCTCCGAACTCAGGGTCGAGCACCCCTCCGAGCGGGTTCCCGAGGACGCGCTCCCGCTCCTCGCGGAGCTGCGCCGCGGCAGCTTCTACGCTCCCCGCGGCGAGGAGCAGGCGATTCCCCAAGTCCGTCACCTCCTTCACCAGCTCCGGGGCGAACTCGGCGCGCTCCAGGCACCAAGCCAGGTACTCCTTAGCCTCGGGGGCTCCATGGCGAGAGGCAGCCGGCGGCGCTGTTGGGCGCTCGCTCTGGCGTACCTCTGCTTTGCTTTCGTGGTGCGCGCTCGGGCGAACATACGCCGGCGGCACCTCGGGGCCTCCGCATCTGCGCCCTGGGCCCCTTGGGTCAGGGGCGGTGCGGCGCCCGCGGCTCTCGTCCAGTGGCGATCTCGCTCGCAGCCGCCCTCTCGCGGGGGGCGCCATCGTCCCAGAGGCGGATGACTCGGAATCAACGTACACCCCTCCGGAGGAGCGCGCTCGCTCGCGGGGGGCTGTCCCCGCGCCTCGACTGCGGCTGCGGCTGCGGGCGATGGGGTTGCCCTGGCCGTCGTACTCCTCGTCGTAGGTCCTCTCGGTCTCGACGTATATGGGGTCAAGGATCCCGCCTCCGGCGTGCTCGTTCCGCGGGATGCCGAGGCTCTTCATCTTTATCTTCAGCGCTTCGTGCTCCTCCACGTAGCGCGCCAGGACCTCGCCGAGCTGGGTGTCCTCCGGATCCATCCCAGGGCACTCCTGGAGCAGCGCGTCGCTGATCTGCCCGATCCCGTTCAGATACAAGATATCCGCGTGCTGGAGGTCGTCGCTCTTGCCGCCCTCCCGCACGTCGTTGAAGGTCCAGACGAAGCGTCGCGCTGCATTGCACTTGTGGACTCCCCCGCGGCAGGCTACCCCCGGGTGTGTCTCGGTGGCCCTGCGTCCTGCCTCGTCGGAGGCGGCCTTGCGGTCCCCGTCAGCCTCTGGTGGAGGGGGGGCTCCTTGGGACTCCTGCGGGCTTCGATGCTTCGGGGGGGCACTCATGGCCCTCTGGTCCTCGCGCTCCTTCCGGCGCGCCTCGCGCTCGAGCCTGGCTGCGCGGCGGGCCTGTACCTGGCTGCGCCTGACCTCCAGCTGCCCGACTGCGCGTGCGGCACCTCGCTCTTGGTCGCCGCCCTCGCCCGCCAGGCGAGCGTGGCGCCCCTGGGCCTCGGCGAGCTGCTCCTCCACTTGTCTTAGGGCGCCCGAGCTCCTCGAAGTGCCCCCGCTGGACGGGGGGACTGAGCTCGCCCTTTCGCCCCCGACTGCTGCGGCCACCTCGCTAAACGTCGGCGCTGGCATGCGGCTGCTGCTGGCTGCTGGGCCGGCTGCGGCCCCGCCTGATCCTGAAGCTGCCGCCGTGGCCGAGGCCCGGTCAGCGATCCTGGCCGTGACCCTCCGCTGGCCGGTTTGGGCTGCGGCACCGGGCGCTGGCTGCTGATCTCGATCCCACCGGGGGCTCCAGCTGGCCCACTCCTTCGGCGGCTTCAGCGTAGCCCACAGCAGCAGCTTCTCTCCAGGGCGCACCGACTCCTCGTCGTCGAGAGGTGGCCCGTGTGCTGCTGCCGCGTCATCGTCCTCCGTATACTCGAAGAGGTACAGTTGGTCTTCGTCGAAAAAACATCCAGACAGCGTGTCCGAGACCCGCGGCCTCGCTTTGACCTCTCCGGCCTCGAACGGGCCCCCTTTGAGCAGCACCCACCGATCGCCTTGCTGCGGGACAAAGACTCGTACTGGGCTGGCCCGGGATGCTTCATCCTCGGCCTCCCTCGCCTTCTTCTGGCGGCGGTTCTCCTCCTCCTCGTCCTCGTCGGGGCTCTCTCCCCCGTCGTCGTCACCAGATCACCACTTCCGCCAGGTCCACCTCCACCTCGAGCGGCAGCCTCGCGCGCCTCACGCTTGCGCGCTTTGTTGCGCTTCCAGCCTCCTCGCTTGCCGCCCCGCTTGCCGCCCCACTTCTCGTCGCCACCGCGCTCGATCGCGATCAGCTCACCGTCGGCCTCCACCTCCGCCCCGTCCCCACCTTGGCGTTCGCCCTTTAAGCTTTCGCCGTCCTCCTCCGCCGCGTCCTTCTCCGGGTAGCCGTCCTTTGAACGACCGCCCCTGCGGGGGCCCTTTGAGCCCCCGTCAACTCTGGCCTCCGTTATGCTTCTCAGTTTCGGGTGGGGTAGGCAGTCCGAGATGCCGCAGCGGCTGAGGGGGGCCTCAGGCCAGCTGTCGTCGTGGCTGCAGCCGCGCTCGTACTGATCCTCCTCTGCTTTGCCAGCGATGGCGTTCCGCTCCAAGCTGCCGCACTTCTCGCCATGCTCGCCGATGGCCCCATCCTCGGTCACAGCGCCCTCTGCCGCACAGGCCGACGGGCTTGATGAAGGAGGGGGCGGCAGCGGCCACGGCAGCAGCGGCTGCGACAACAGCATCACGATGATTATGATGAGCTCTTTTTTTCTCCTCGCAACAGCTGGCCGCCTTGTTTCCCCCTCCCTCGTGCGCTCTCGCTCGGAGTCCGAGCTGTCTGCAAACATCCGGGACATGTGCTCGATCTGCATCTTGAGCTCTTTGTTCTCCCTGGTGAGGCGGCAGCGCTCTGCCTCGGCATCCGCGCACCTGGCGAACAAGCCCTCGAACTCGTCCATCAGGACCCCACCCTCCGCGTTGTTCTCGTGCTCCGAGCCGCCCCCGTCCTTTGAGCTGTCCTCCGAGCCCTTGCCCTCGCCCTCGGTGTCGTCCGAGCCCTTGTTCTCGTCCCCCTCGGTGTCCTCCGAGCCCTTGTCCTCGTCCTCGGAGGTGTCCTCAGAGCCGCTGTCCTTGTCCCTGCTCTCCTCGCCCCCCTCCTCGTCCTCGCCCTCGCCCATCTTCGAGCCGTCGTTCTCGCCGCCCTCGTCGTCGCCCTTGCCGCCCTCGTCGTCGCCCTTGCCGCTCTCGTCGCCCACGACGCCGTCCATGAGTGCCAGGGCGGGGGGCGCCTCACGGGCAGGGGGGCCGCCAGGGACCCGTCCTCGCTTGGGCTTGTTGAGCCAGGCGACGAGCTTCTTCTGGGCTGCTTCACTCCATTGGCCCTCTTGGCGGCGCTGCATTCCGCAAGACGTCTGTATGTAATGCATCTGGTTGCCCACCTCCTGCAGCAACATGTTTACCTTCGACGGGTGCACGGTCAAGCGCCCTGCGTTCACTTCTCCAATTACATCCACAGCGCGCGGGCGAACGCGGTCCGCGATCGCCACGGGGGCAACGGGCGGCCTCGAAGGGGCAGCCGGGTCCAAGAGGCGGACGAGGCCAGCAGCTGCTGGGCCCGAGGGTTTTGACGGATTGCCAACGCTCAAATCCAAGCGCGTCCGTTTACCATCACGGGTCAACACAACACGGCCAGACACCGCAATCGAGGTCTCCATGACTTGCTGAAAGACTTCGACACAAATCTTCGGATCAGCCCGCGCGGGGCACCTTGAGCCGAGGTGGCTACGGACAGGGGGGAGGAGGAGCAGCAGCAGGAGGAAGAGGAGGAAAAAGGGGGGGAGGAGGAGGAGGAGGAGGAGGAGGAGGAGGAGGAGGCGGAGGTGGAAGAGGAGGAGGAGGAGGAAGAGGAGGAGGAGGAGGAGGAGGAGGAGGAGGGAGGAGGAGGAGGAGGGGAGGGAGGAGGAGGAGGGAGGAGGAGGGGGAGGAGGAGGAGGAGGAGGAGGAGGAGGAGGAGGAGGAAGAGGAGGAGGAGGAGGGAGGAGGAGGAGGAGGAGGAGGAGGAGGAGGAGGACTGAACCTCTGGGCCAATGCCCGCCGGGCGTTTGCCGACGGCTTGGCTGTCTGCGGGGCGCTGGCGCGGCGCCAAGTGCCGAGGCCGCGCTGCGGGGCCCCCTCCTGCTGCTGCTGCTCCTCCTCCCTTCCCTCCCCTCCCCTACCCTCCCCTCCCCTCCCTCCCTCCCTCCCTCCCTTCCCCAGGATTGGCGGGGGGGGGCCGGGCGCGCTTCTCTCTCTAGGACGAGGGGGGGGGGGGAGGGAGGGAGGGGGGGTGGATTAAACCAACGAGCCTTGGATTAATCCAGGAAGCACAGCGGCAGGAAGAGGATGACCAGGAGGGGGAGCGATGGGGGAGAGGAGGAGGAGGGGGAGGATGAGGAGAAATAGGAAAAGGGGATACGTTTCCTGTCGACGGTCGGTCCCCGTTCTTTCCCGTCTTTGCAATCGAGCTTCGGCCCCCGCTCCTTCCCAACTCCTGCGCTTGAGCTCCGTGCAGTAGCGCGAATAACTACCCCATGCGTGCACTGGCAGACAACAGCCACCACTCACAGCTCACGCGTCGGCGTTGTCCATGCCACCACCGAAGCCGAACACGTCCTCGTCCTCGGGGAACGCAGGGACAGGGAGGGCCACATCATCCTCGCTGTCCGTGTCGATGCTGATGGAGCCCGAAATTGTCTTCAAAGACGCGAAGAGCTTGCTCTTCTTCTTGATGAACTCTTGAAAGGTCTCGTCGTCCAGCTCCCTCTTGACGGCAACGCGCGCGGGGACAGCCGCAGGCGCTGGCCCCTCGAACAGGGTGCTGGCGCCGGTGCCCTCGGCGTCGACTGCCGCCTTGCGCTCGCCAATCCTCTTGTCCAAGATCCTCGACACCCAGCGCTTCTCTTCAATGGGGTTTGCCTTGAAAGTGGACGGCGGGTCCCTGTTGCCGCCCTTGAAGGCCAAGTAGAGGCGCTTCCCCGCGGGCGTGAGGTAGTCCGCACCCGCTACTCATTTCCTGTGGACATTTTTCTGGTTCACACTTGCTGGGCGCCAGTGCACGTAAGTCTTGCTGTTCATGATGAAGGCAGCCCTGTTGAAGATGGCGTCCAGTTCGGCGTCAGTGGTCTTGTCTGGAACGGCGGGGCGCACCATCTTTGCGAAGTCCTTGAACTCGATCTCTGGCCACACGTCCTCCTTGGGCTGGCACGTCGGGTCGTAGAACTGATCCGCGATGATGCGGGGCTGGTTCTGCACCCAGTTCGCCGCGCCCCACCTGGCCCATGACATGCTTTCGTAGAGGCCCACGTCGGTGAACGACTTGAGCACTTTCATCGAAAGAGCATTGCAACCACCGTCGTCGAGGAAGTCCCCCATCAACACGGATCCCTGCTCGCCTCTCAAGAAATCGATTTTCCGTTGTGGTGCGAACGCATGGCTCGCCGTCCACGCCCAGGCGCTCTTTGTTCCACCGACACTGGGCCATGATGATGGAACGCCCAATCGGGGACTTTCCAGCACGCGGCTCACCGAGCATGACGAGGGCTGACACGTCGAAGTCCCGCACCTGCTCCAAGATGTCGAGGGCCCACGGCTGGTAGTACTTCCGTGTCAAGCACACGCACCACCCGTATTCTTTCATGGCGAAGCAACCGTCGGTGGCCAAATTGCGGAGCGCTTCCTGGACTAGCCCCGAGTGCCACCCGAAGATGGGGCTGTTTTTATTGACGATGTTCTTCGTCCGCCACGTTAGTTGCTGCAGGTTGGAGCTGGACCTGGGGCCTTTGTCCTTGATGTACTGGAAGCCTGCGTCAATGTCTTCCTCTGGCATGTCCTCGAACCTGGTGCCTCCGGACCTTTTTTTCGTGGCCACCGCGTTCGTTTCTAGGCAGAAGCACTTGAACTGGCGGCCGCCCATGTTCTCGAACGCCTGCCGGAAGACCTTTGCGCCGATCTTTGGATGATCCCATGTGAGCACGTGCGGCCGCCCGTAGCAGATGCTCGGCAAGTGCTTGGTACTGATCTGATCCTCGAACACAAAGTGATTGATGATGCAGGTATTCCCGTTGTCTTGTAGCAGAATGGCTATCTGTGTCTTCCCGTTCTTGAAATCCGCAGATTTGAAAGAGCGTGTTCTACCGCTGCTGGCGGACAACCGAGGGGGGGCCACTACTGGTTCGAACCCCTCCCACCCCACCCCCCCTCTGGAAAACTGCGGGGGGGGTCACTGCCGGTTCGAACCCCCCCCCCCCCTCCCCCCCAGTTCATCCTGAAAAGGAGAGGGGGGGGGTGTCACTGCCGGTGCGACCCCCCCCCCCCCCTCCTTCGAAAACCGAGTGGGGGTGCGGACAGTGGCGGGGGCGGCGTTGGCGGGGACAGTGGCGAGGGGACAGCGGGACAGTGGTGGGGACAGTGGGACAGTGGGACAGTGGTGGGGACGGTAGTGGTGGGGACAGTGGTGGGGGCAATGGTGGGAACGGGGGGGGCAGTGGACAGTGGTGGGGACGGTGGTGGTGGGGGCAGTCGAGTGGGGACAGTGGGAATGAGGTGGAAACAGTGGTGGAGGGTACAATGGTGGCGGGGACAGTGGTGAAGGCGGTGGCGAGGACGGCGGTGGGACAATGGGACAGAGGTACAGTGGGGACAGTGGCGGGGACAGTGGGGACAGTGGTGGGAACAGTGGGACAGCTCAGTGGGACAGCGGAGGAGTCAGTGGGACAGCGGGGACAGCGGGGATAGTCGGGCAGTGGCTGGGTCCGTGGAGACAGTGGGGAGAGTGGAACCGTGGTGGGAACAGTGTTGGGAACAGTGGGGACAGTGCGACAGTGGTGGGGGCACTGGTGGGGACAGTAGGGGCGGTGGTGGAACCAGCGGGGACACTGGTGGTGAGGACAGTGGTGCTGGGAACAGCAATGGGATGTGATGTGGGCGGTGGTAGGGGCCGGGAGTCGTTTGCTGGCGGCGCGTGGGGGGAGGGGGGTCGAACCGGTAGTGACCCTCCTCCGGTTTTCGAAGGGGGGGGAGGGGTTCGAACCGGTAGTGACCCCCCGGTTTTCCAGATCTGGAGGGGGGGGGGAGGGGTTCGAACCGGCAGTGACCCCCCCGGTTTTCGAGGGGAGGGGGGGGGGAGGGGGGGGGGGGGGGGGTTGCCGGGGGAGGGGGGCGGGGGGATCCAGCAGGGGGGGGAATTGTCGGGGGGGGGGGGGGGGGGCGACCCCCGGGTTCGGAGGAAAGCGGCGGTGGATCACGCTCTCTCGCAGATTTGGAACCCAAGGGCGGTGGCAATGATGCCAATTCGTTGTCCTGGAAAGCCTTGGCGTACAGCGCCGGCAGCGCATGGTAGTCGATCGCGCCCTCGTGCCCACAATGAAATCGACGACGTGGGCGACCTTCATCTCGGTAGCGCCGTTGTGCTCGCGCATGGGTGAATCGAGTGGTGACCAGGGGCCGCGTGGTATGTTCGGCGTCGCGATGGCTTTGCTGGAGGGGCGACACATGTACCCGTCGGCCATCTGCTTCAGGTCGTCGCACGTCGGACTCTGCGAGGCCATGTCCTCAGCCATGGTGGCGCGCAGGCTCGCCCAAACCGAGGATAGGCACGCCTTGAGCCTCAAACGGCGACGGGCGGGCGAAGGAGGAGGAGGAGGAGGAGGAGGGGGAGAGGCGTCTGGCCCAGGAGAAGGCCTGGCCCCAGGTGCGCCGCCAGACAGGCTGGCCACGTCCCATACCGAACGCATCGCGAAGGAGCCCGCGCGGCACAGGCGCGAGCGCGCCAAGCGCCACCAGGCCCGACTCCTCCTTTCTTTGTACAAGGCCCAAGCCCTTCTTAGGACCCACCACAGCTCCCCCTCATTCAAGATGTTCGGTTCTCGCCCAGGACACAACAAAGCGGGCGGCCCCCAACAACAGTGGAACTGCGGCTGCGGCCGCTATGTGAAGCCACATCACTGGAGGTGCTTGCGCGGCAGCCACTTCGACAACAGGATCGAGAGAGTTCGTCAGCCAAGCCGCCCTCGTGATCAGAGGCCCCCACGCGACGCAGGAGGGCCCCGACGGCCCAGCCGCCCCCGAGGAGCCCAGAAGGACATCAAGAGGGAGGAGCAGGATATCAAGCAGTTTATAGGTCGTGTCTTCCCCATGAACACATCGGATGCCCAGTGGTACATGCGTGAATGTGGCTACGACTTGGCCCCCATGGACACGCAGGCCATCAAAGAGTACAAGGAACGTACTAAATGGAGGCTATGCGACATCGCCCGCCTCGTCATCGTTGCGAGGAAAGCGGGCAAGGATGACGCTATGCTCATGAAAGAAGTATCGTGCCTCAAGTACATGATGGGTACCACAGTTTGACTCGCCGACCACTTGGCTGAGCTCAAGCAAAAGCGAGACACGTGTATCAATCGTATCAAGACCTTGACGACGAAGATGAACGAGTTTGGAGATCAGAGGAGTGAAGCTGAGCGTGATTTAGTTCTGTGGAAAATCCATCGAGGAGCTAGAAGACCTAGAGGACTACCAGGTCGGCAGTGAGATGGATGAGGAGCCGCGCACGTATGCGGCAGGAGCGCACCCAGACACGGCGGAGAACATGTACGGACCCAGGCAGATGTTTGGCATGGTGCCACCGCCCCCGAGTGCATGGCCAAACGTGAACGCATGCATCGACAGATCCACGGCAGCACAGATGATGGGACAAGCAGCAGGTGAACCAGCACCCTCCGCACCACAACCGCCGCCACCACCACCGCAGACAAACCAGAAGGTTGACCAGATGGAGAGATTGATCAATTTCATGATCGAGAGGCAGCAGGCCGCGGAGGCGCAGATGAATCTCATCGTAGGCCACCTCCAGCCCAAAACAGCGGCGGTGGGGTTTCATGTACCAGAGAGTACAGCAAATGGAGTTATACCACCGGCGGCATCAACAGCGCCCGAGACGGCAACTCCCTCCACATCGGCAGCGTCGCCATGTCCACCGCCAGCGCCGAGGGCGCCAATAGGGGGCACCAGCACGCCAGTGGCGACCAGGAGCTACTCACCCATCCCGACGGAGCAGACCATGCACCCGAAGGCCGAGGTGATCCACTCCAGCCCGCTCACGCCGACGGAGATGGCCGAGGATGGATACGGGTCGCAAGCAAAAGAAGAAATTCCAGGACCCCAGGATCTGAGTGCCCCCTTCTTGAGCCCTACCCAGCCAATGGCAGCCATGTCCCAAGAGGATCCCCCCATGCTCCCACCAGTGGGGATGATGGAACTCGAGGGCCAGACCAGAAGGAGGAGGAGCTTCGCAGCCCTCCTCAGAGGGCAGCGAGGCTAGAGGACGAGCTTAAAGCAGAGTTTCGTTCGGGGGCTGCACGATCAGGTTAATTCATCCCCTTTCCCCGCGGCGGGGCCACAGAGAGTGGCCCCCCCCATCTTCTGCAAACCTGAAGTCGCGCATGCGTTGCCCAGGGGCCGATGGTTTTGAGTGTAATGTTCGTTCTACACTTTCTACTGAGGTAGATGACGCCCAAAGAGCGTTCTTGTCCCAGGGGTGCTGCAGTCCTCCAGTGGGGACCCATAGGAGTCGACGCGCCCCCTGCGATAGGGGGGGGGGGGGGGTTGACGAGGAGGAGGGGGAGTCACGTGCCACGCGTCTTGAGAGAGCTCGCCTCGCGAGCAACCCTTTTGCACCGCTTGCTGTTTACGAGGACGAGGCAGCGCAGTTGCTGCCCCCCCCCCCTCCTTCCCCCCAGGGAAGTGAGGGGGGGCATCCTCCTAATGCGACACCTGCTTGCGCAGACTCAATCACGGACGGAGCAGCGTCAGCCACCACCTCCGTTCCTTCCCCTTCTGATCTTTGGTGCCCGTTCGAGCGGAAACCAACGGTGCTGGAAATGCTGGGCCGTGCCCAGCCCATGCATTGGGTCCTGGACCTGCCAGATGATATTCCCATTGAGGCCTCTTGGGCCATCAAGTTGTGTCCTACTAGGAGGGCTGTCTGGGATGAGGCTTCTTACTTCATTGATGGGTCCATCCGTTTTCGGGGCGACTCCACGGGGGCCTGGGCAGTGGTCCGCGTGGGGAGTGATGCTGAGGGATGCGCATTCCTGGGGGTTTGGGCAGCTGCTTTCCTCGATAGTTTTCTCACGCCTGGAGCTCGCTCTGGGCTCACTAGCACGGACATAGAGCACGCGGGCGCGTCGTGGGCCCCCCTTGCCATTATCGCCAATGAGTGCCACGAGCCGCCCACCATCCACGCGGACTCGCTGGACGTCGTCCAGAGCCTGTACGGGCTGTCGGCAGTGGCCAAAACCAACGTAATTGCTAGAATTACCCAGATTGCATGATATGGCTTGCGCTCTGGCAGCTAAGAGGTGGCTCGATCACCCCAACCCCCTCCTGGTCAAACATGTCAAAGGCCACGAAGGCCAGCCATGGAATACCTTGGCCGATCACTTGGCGGGGCTAGTGGGCAAAAACGTTCGGGGCCCATGTTCCCCCCCCCCCCCCTGTGTGGGTCGAGGCCGCTGAATTCAGCAAAGACCGTGAGTGGGGGTGGCTAACATTGGCCAGCACCAGCACAATGGGGCCTGTCCTGTGCTGGAGGCTGACGGGTTTAGAGCTCCTCAGATAGCACACGAGGTGAATGGACTAGGGCACAGGCCTGAACTTCGCGTGACCAAGGTTATGCAAGAGTTGGAGTTTAGGGTTGCTACAGTTAACGCTAAGAGTGCCGCCAACACTAGAAGGAGGGGCGCGAAGGGTAGACTGCGCTTCGCTCGGAACGTGGCCATCAAGGCCCAATTCGACAAAGAAGACATCGTCTTGGCAGGCATCAAGGAAGCTCGTAATCCGAAATGAGTTTACATTTCGGGAGCATATCATGCAATTTCGTCGGGAGCGTTGAACCACGAGTTTGGATGCGAACTTTGGGTTAACGCGCGTGTTGCATATGGAGAGGCCAAGGGCCAGCCGTTGTTCTTCAGTAAGCAACACTTTCGTGTGATTGACGCCGACCCCCGCTGGCTCTTGGTGGCGGTCAATGCCCCTGGCCTGAAATCAATGTCTTGGTCGGCCATGCTCCTCATTCGGGATCCCCTACGGCTCGGGCGGCGTTCTGGGGCTCTATTGGGGAACTCGTGAGGGCCTGGGGGGTGGACCGTTTCCTTTTTGATGCCAGCGGGCGCCTAGGAAACATCACCTCCGAGGTCGCAGGCTCGCGGTTGGGCCCAGGGCCAGGGCGAGGGGGGGATGCCCTTCACGAATTTGCCCTTGAACACCACATGCCTGTATTCAACACCCTGCATGGGGAGGAGGATCACTGGACGTGGGAATCCACCCACGGGCTCAGACACATAATTGATTTCATCTTGAGTTGTTCATGGTTGGCCAACCACGCCCTTTCATCCGACGCGCTGCGTTGCTTGGATCGAGTGAATCAGTTGACTGACCACGTTCCCATTATTACATCATTCAAGTGACAAGCTTCGCATACCCGCCGCATTGCATCTCATAAGCGCCTGGACCCTGCGGCCTTCAAAGACCCCAAGAAGGTCGCGGCTTTTAAGCGGGGGCTCAAGGAGATTCCCCAAGTGCTTTGGGAGATCCCTCCGTCTGAACACCACGCCTCCATCAACTCTGGGGTTGCCAGGGCTGCGGTGGAGGCCTTTGGAGTTGCCCCTCGGAGAGCACGTCGGCCATCCATTTCCGAGGCCACTCTTGATCTCACCACTTCCAGACGTGGGGTCCTTCGAGTCCTAAAGAAGTGCACCAAGGCCCAGGGGGGTATTTGCGTCTCATCCCTGCAACACCTTCGTGGCCGCTGGGAGCTAGGAGACCTCTTGGGGTATGCGATGGCAGACGCTGGCTACGCATGGCGACAGCCATATATGCAACTAGCCAACGCCTGTGACGACTGGACCCATCGCAGAATAGAGCGAGACGATATATATCTTTGCGTGCACCAGTTTCTGATTGATACCGAGATTGTGTTTTCCAGAACAACCGAGAAAGACAAGTGTGACCACCTGGGCGCCAAGGCACCTCGCATAGAGCATGCTAGAGACCTCGGACGACCCAAAAGAGAATGGGACATAATAAAGCATCTTGCCTTGTTTGGGGGCCGCCCACACCGCATCCCACACACTTTGCCCTTCTCTACTGGCAAATCAGGTCGCCCCCTAACTGCGGAAGAGGCAGTGGCTGACAACCTTCAAGAACACTTCGCTAGGATTGAAACAGGGAAGATTACCGATGAGCAGGATGTTTTTTCTAAATTCAATGGTTTGTCCCCACCCTCCAGGACTTTGTTCCTAGGGACCTGAAGTGCTTTGCTACTAAGTACGAGACGGCGCCTCTCATGAGAAAACTGCAGGGTGGGAGGGCTGCTGGCCCTGATGGCCCATCGGCTGATCTCATGAAGACGGCGCCCATG